CTGAAACAGTACTCAAAATATTCAGATGGCCCTCTAAATTTATTTACCTGGGTAACTGCTGAAAGAGAGGCGACTACTGCTGGTGTCTTCATCCTTGATGTTGAAGTCCCAGTGTTTATATATCCTGAGCATGGCTGCGTATGTGTACCAGCTTGAGTGAGCAAAATAGATGTTCTCAAATCCAGGAAGAACCTATAGCCATAGTGGATGACACAGGGGTACATAGATAACTGACTACAATTGTAAGGGTAGGAGGCATACAGGAATTGTGTCAACTCAGGTAAGTACTTATTGCTATACATGGTGCTGAAAAATGTGGCTAAGGAATCCAAGATTGACCTCTAATATGCACAAAAAAGACTCCAACATCCAGAATGGAAGATTCTAGAAGGTGGGAGTAGCAGGTGCATACAGCATGGGAGGAATGGTGGAAGGAACAGAGGTATAACATCGTGTACTTCCAATTCCTTCCATCAGAGGATATTCCTTCCAGTTCTTAACTCTTACCATAAAGGAACCCAAAGGAACCCATGAGCTGATAATATACAGCTATAGCCAGGGGTGATGAGATGTTGCCATACTTGAGTGGCACATAGAAAAAGCCTGTGTGAACCAGAACAAGGAAAAAGGAGCTTGGATGTTTTACCTTAATAAGGGCAGAGCAATGTCCCATGTCCCATCTCTTAAAAAACTTCAGACTGGTGTTTTTTGTGGGCGAGAGTGAGGGAATTAGATCCAATAGATCTCCAACAGCATTCAGAAACTGGATCTGGAACAAGGTCATGGGCTGGGAAAAGACAAAGACTGTATTTAACATTGATTTGTCATTCTCTGTTTTTCCTCTTGTTAGGGATTCATTAAATAATTCCCTTGTGAATTATGTAACAGATAGTGTAGCAGATGTCTCTCATATAACAGATGTACTAGATTTTACTTCAGCTTATAAAGTAATTTTTATGGCTTTATAGTTTAGAGAAGATGTGTTAGCATGTTTTGATGGCCACAGATTTGGGGAGTGGCTCCTTAGTAAAACAAACAGAGCTTTCTCTTTGCATTCTTCTAAAGCAGGGTTTCTCAACCGTGGTGACGTTGATATTTTGAGCCAGATAATTCTTTCTTTTGGAGGGTTGTATTTTAGGATGTTTAGCAGCATCCCTGGCCTCTACCTTCTATCTGTCAGTATAGAATATATTCCCAGTTATGACAACCAAAAATCTCTCCAGATATTGCCAAATATCCTCTGGAGAGAAATCACCCCTAAATGAGAACCACTACTTTACTGCAAAAACAGTCAACTAAGATGCTTTTGATTTTGATTCTGTGCTTAATACAGGCCATCTGACTAGGCAGCGTTAACCCTGAAGGAATTATCAGATATTTGAACATGAACTTTGTGCTGACCGGAGAACACTGCTCTAGCAAGATTTAATCTAACAGAGTAGCCCAGGGTTAGGCTACAAATTTTTTTTTTAATTTTAATTTTTTTTCTACAAATTTTTTTAAATTTTTAATTATTATGGGCACATAATAGTTGTATATATAAATTGGTTTTTAGGTAGAAGTGCTGAGAAGAGAAACACAAATGATGTTTTAACCAAAAAAACGAAAACAAAAAACTCAATCCAATTTTTATTTATATAAATATTTTTCTTTATTTTTTGAATAAGGTGTACATTCATTATTCAAGATTTAAAAAAATTATAACAAGGTATACAGTGGAAAATCTCCTCCCCTTCCTGTTCTTCATTTGCTAACATCCCACCTTGTCTCCAGTTGACCACTTTCACTGTTTTTTCACATATCTCTAAAGTTTTCTAAACTTTTACAAGACAATTTTACAATAGTCTTGTAAATAAAATTTTTAGAACATAAATGGTAGTATATTACATATACTGTTCCTTGCCTTGTTTTTTTTTTCCTCTTAATATTTTTCACTTAATATCTTGGGGAGCTTTCCATATTAGATGCAAAATTTTCCTCACTCTTTTAAGCAGCATTCTAACAAATAGATGTATTATAATATTTTGAACCAGTATTTTGTTGATGGTTTTTAAGTGGTTTCTAGTCCTTTGCTATTATAAACAATGTCACAATAATTAATCCTGGACACACAATGTTGCATGTGTGTGAATCTATGTATAGGACAAATTCCTAGAAGTGATTGTGATTTTGATAGATACTGCCAAATTGTCCTCATAGGAGTTGTTTCAATTACACTCTTCCATATTTAACAACATACTAAACATGTCGTTTATTTCCAATCTGATAGGCGCAACACAGTATCCCAATGTGATTTATACTTGCATTTTTTTGTTAATGGTAAGACTGAACATATCTTTAAAAACCTTTGTGTTTGTTTTTTGTAAACTGTTCACACGCTTAATTTTTCTACTAGGTCGTTCTTTTTTCTATTGACTTTTAGGAGCTCTTTAAGTATTAGGGAGATTAGCTCTTTGTTTCTGTGTTGAAAATGTTTTTTTTTCAGTTTATAATTTACCTTAATTTTAAAAATTAAGAAGGATATCATACATGTGAAAGAATAAAGATATATACACACAATTAAAGGAAAAATAATAAAAATAAACACCTATGTAGTCATCTCATATTTTAAGAAATGGAACATTAGCAGAGTCCAAGAGGTCTGCAATCTCATCTCCCTCCTTTCCTATCAGCAGTAAGTAAAAATTGTGCTAAATTTTGTGTTACTCATTACCTGCTTCTCTATTATTTTATCATCTATATATGAATCCCTAAGCAATACTTTTAAAAAATATGCTTATTTTTGAATTTGCACAAACAGAATCATATTGTGTGCATTCTTTTGTGACGCATTTCTTTCACTTGATTTTTTTTCACATTTAACAATGTGTAGAAATTGTTCATTAATTTTCATTGCTATATGACATTCCATTGTGTGAATATCTATATAGTATTACGTTATACTTCTGATGAGGATTTGAGATGTTTCCAGTTCACAACAAAACAATGCTACTGTGAACTTTTATGTATATGGACCCCAAACACAAGAGTGTCTCTAATCTCTTAGTGGAATTGCTAGCTTGTAGAATATGCATTGTCTTCAAATGTTTCGAGAAACGTCCATTTTTTTCTCCAAAGTGGTTATAATAATTTACTCCAGCAGCAACTGAGGTTTCCTAATTCTGACATGTAATAGGATCTCAATGAGGTTTTAGTATGCATTTCCTTAAAATTGAGCATTTCTTCACATATTTATGGGTCATTGCATTTCCTCTTTTGTGAAATTCCTATCGATGTTTTTTTTTTTTTGCCCATTGCCCATTTTTCTATTGAGCGTTTTCTGTTTTTATGATTTATTTGTTGATGTTCTATATGTATTTTAGATACGAAGCCTTTATTAGTTAAAAATACTACAATTATCTTCTCCTGGCTTATATTTTCACTCTCTTTATGTCTTTTGATAAAAAGAAATTCTTCATTTTAGTTAGCTGAATTTATCAATCTTTTTCTTCATGGTTAGTGCTTTTGTGTTTTAAGACATTGTTACCTATCCTAAGTCATATTCTCCTGGGAAACAAACAAACCTACCAGGTTTTCATTACTCCTAGGCCTTTTTAGGAGACAAAGTGAGGAAATATGTATTATTAAAGGAAGCTAAGAGTAATGATTTCCTACCTATATTTCAATCTTAAAAACCACAGTGTCTTTACTTCATTGATTTTTCCTATGTTTAAAATCCTAGCTAACATAATTATTTATTTGCTTTATTTTACTATATCTGTCTATTCATCTAACTTTATTAAATTTCAAAATAACAATATCAATATTATTACTCAAGTGAGATTACTGCATACAGTTTAAGGAGTTTTTGTATGTTTGGTTTTTTGTTTTATTTTGTTTTGTTTTGTTTTGTTGGTGGTTCTTCTTGTCTTTAGTATCTATCCCACTAAGGATGTATGGCAATAACTATTTTCATGTTATTTGAAATTTGTTCTCTGTGTGGTTATGCCATCAACCTGTTATACAGCTAAATATATTTGTGTCAATTTGTTTTCAATTTTTAGGGATTGCTTTCTTTTTTGTGATTTAATTGTGTTTTATAATTAGAAACAGCATTTACATGGTTCCAAAGTCAAATCTGTCACGTTTCCTACTCCTGAGCACAGTTATTATGGAAGATTGAAAACATAGAGCCAAGTTGTTCTATTTGTATGTTGAGCTTGAATTTTGTGCTGTAATATTACAGACATGACAGTGCTTGTCCTCAAGGAATTTATATGCTAGTCCTACTTTGATCTGCTTTTAAATTAGAATGTTATTTTAAAGATGATTTTCAATATGATTGCCATACCATATGAATTCTGAGCAGCTTCTTAAAAATCTTACCTTCGTCCCTTCTAATAGAGCCTTCTTCATTGCCCCTACATATAGTCCATCCAGTTGTGACATAACATAGCCCGTGTGTCTCCAAAATGGGTCATCCCTGTATTTTTTGATGTTTTTCCGGGTCCACTGATCTTGCTTCCTGGAACAGAAATTAGATTTGTACTAGAGGTCTCAGTGGTTGCTCATCTGTAGCTGACAAAAACCAGGCATTTAGAAATTATATGCCCACTTAGGCTAGTATAATTTAAATTCTAGGTCTTGTAATGTTACAGTTACTCAAGGATGTCAGAGAAAATCCTCTAAATGATTTTTAACTTCTCCCTAGGACTATGTAGTTTCTCTTGTGCTCTATCTAAAACCAAAACACAAGTGTGGTATTTACCTACCTGTGATGCTGAGACCTAAAAATGACAAGGACAGAATATCCAAATACATTTCATATAAAATCATAATGTCTCACTAGGTCAACAAAGATAAGCTGATTAACTTTACTTTGGTATGTAGAAGTGGTAAAGTTAAACAATAAGAAAAAAATTTCTTGCCAGGCTGGGTGGCTCATGCCTGTAACTCTAGTACTCTGGGAGGCCGAGGCAGGAGGATTGCTTGAGCTCAGGAGTTCGAGACCAGCCTGAACAAGAGTGAGACCCCTGTATCTAAAACAAAACAAAACAAAATGAAAACAAACAGACAAAAAACTCTTAAGGAAAAGATGGTTTATAACTGTATTTCTCTCAGGTCATCGTCATAGCTTATGGTTCATTCCATTTCAGTCATTATTAATAATTGCCTTGCCCCAGTAGACCAATGGATAAGGCATTGGGCACCCTAAGCCACGGATTGTGGGTTTGTGTCCCATCTGGGGTGCCATCAAATTAAAAAAATAATAATAACTGCCTCAATGCCTCTGTCCAACCATAATTAGCAAAAAAGTCTTATTTCTTTTATTGTCCTTTCATTCTAACTTCTTTCTGTTCTCTGCCTTTGTAAGAGATGATTGAATCTAATTTTGTATACTGAAGGCTATTTTTGATTTGTCTGGGCTCTCTCTAGATCAGTCTTAGAATAATATTATACAGTGTCATTGCTTCATGGGGTCCAGCCCAGTGGCTTTGTGATACTCCGTAGGACTTTGAGCATTTCATGAAGAGGTTGCTTAGCACGTGATTTGAAGAGTCAAACCTTTCTGTCTCCAAATTTAAACACATATAAAATGTAAGTCTTCAGAAAACTTTATTTAAATGGAAATATTCTCAGAGAGTGTTAAGAATTATGACTTTAGACATTAGCTAACACCCCAGCCATGATGAGTCACCAGGCCCATGAAAAGAACACACTTTTGAGAGGGAGAAGTGATCCTTGCAAGTATGAGAGGGATCTCCATGTGGAAGGGATCCAGGGATTTAACTGCCTGTTTTTGCACTGATGGTGTAATTCCTCTAGCCGTGTTAGCAACTGAAAATATGATCTCGAACCTGACCTTTGAAAGAGCCAAGATTAGAGGACATGTTGTCTGCAACCAATTTTCATGCCATTACCAAAACATGCTAAACCCTACTAGAAGAACAACACTAGAGTCCTGCTAAAGAGATAGGAAAAGACATTGGCAAAAAAAAATTTTTTGCTGTTTGAAATTACAGGTTCAAGCCTTCAAGCCTCCATAACGACAAGAAGAAGAAAGTTATTGTACGTACCCCATAAAATCCTGAACTTTATCTACGATGGAAGGTTTCTTGATCAGCTGAGGGTAGAGGTTTGTGAAGTGGTCATACATATGTCTGAAACAATAGATGAAAATCGTTACATTTCTAGTTTATTTGGATTTCTCCATCACAGTAAATTACTCAATCTTTTGACTAATGAGAATGTCCCCTATTACAAATCTTCCCTACTATACGAGGTCTGTCTGTGAAGTATCCAGTCGCGGATATGAAAAATAGAGACATTCATTGAAGAAGATACAAGATACAAGAAACATTGTACTAGGACAGTGACTCCTCAAAGTAGGCACCTGGGGACCTCACAGAGTTCTCCCAGCGTCTCTGAACCTAACCCATACACGTTCAACATGCTCAGGTGTTCTGCTTGGTGCAGGCCTTCCAGAACATGGATTATTTTCAACAGATTCTCAACCATCTTTGAAGCTTTTGTGCCATACTTTTATTTGTGCTGCTGTACTCATTGCATCATCCCTGAAATCCTTCTGAATCATCCAAATAGTTTCCACGGAGGAATGTCCAAGCTCAATGCAAAATTTGATGTAGATTAGTTGCTCTACTCGCTCAGTCATTTTTGAGTGTGAGGGCCACACACCTTCCCTCAATGGCCACCAAGCACCCCACTAATAACACAGTGCCATCATTGTTCATGCATGCACATTACAGTCCACTCTCTATGGCTGCCAAATTACTAGATGTGATGCAAACCATTCTCGTTATATCATTAACAACAGTGGCTGGGTACTCTCTGGACATACCTCATGTGTGTGTGTGTGTGTATAAATAAATTAAATGCATAATTTAAAATTGAAAAATATTTCCAACATATAGAAAAGGATAGATAAAACAAACACCAAGTACCCATCACCCAACTTTATTAAATCATATTTTGCCATATTTGCCATGTATATTTTAAAAAATAAAACAAAATATTAGAATTGAAGTCCCTTTGCACAACTTCCCAATGTGAATTTCCCTCCCTTCTCCCAAAAGATAACTATAATCCTGAATCTGATTTATTATCCTCATTTTATATTATATAATCATTAGGTATATATTTAATCATAAATAATGTATGGTATTATTTATCATGTTTCAGAACAAAATATAATAAGATCATAACTGATCTATCACTCATTTGTTTATTTCCCATGATTTTTTAAAAGAAATATTTATATTATAATCTGCTGCTTAAACTTATTCATTTCAACTGCTGATAGTATTCTATGGTATGACTATACAATAGTCCATGTATGCATTTCTATGATGGACATTTAACTGGTTTTAGGTTTGTCACTACCATTATGCAACTTCCAATATTGTTGTCTGTCTCTTTTTACACATTTGCATCTTCTTCTAAGATACATACGTACACACAGATACATACATATGTATTATTTATAAGATTGCTGGGGTGAATATTCTACTATATATTAAAAAGTTATCAGATATTGCTGTATTGTTCTCCACAATAATTGTATCAATTTACATTCCTACCAACTATACGTTAGATTTCCCCTTCCTCCACAGCCCCACCACTTGTTATTGTCAGACTTTTCAATTTCCAACAATTTTGATGGGTTTTTAATAGTTTCTCCACTTAATTTCTATTCCCCATAAAATTACTGGGTATTGGGGTTTTTTATTTTAAAACTTACTTTAAAAAATTAAAAATGTCTCATATGCTGTATACTAAAATTTTGTAATCGATGAAAATAATCTGTTTATATTCATTGTTATTTTACTATCCTTGGATTTATTTCTATAATCTTTTCTGTTTTCCATTACCATCTCTTTCTTTGTCTCTTTTTATTTTTTTTGTTTAGACAACACTGTTATTGTTTTCACTTCTGATTCAGAAACTATAGAATGTATTTCTATTCTTTTGATGATAATGATTTAAAAACACTTGTAACTATGTATTTTCTTATAAAGTCTAAATGAATTTAATATTTCTCTTTTTCCAAACATGAAGCATATTTTAGCAATCTTTACAAAAAAAAGAGAGATCTTACTCAGCATCCCGCAACGAAAAAGCGTAGGAGACTACGTCATGACGAGTGCTAAATGATGAGGTATTGACATAATGCAAAGATTCAGGAAACATGGGTGTGCATGTGTCTTCATGATTCCTCAACATATGAGATGTGTGTCGAAGATGTGAAGGTGAGCAAAGTCCAGGCAGCTTGGGAGGAAACTTACATCACGGGGGTTGAAATGAAATCTGACACATCCGATGAGACAGATGTTAGTGTTGTTGCCGTTTGATGAGAATTCAGAGGCACGAGGAAGTCAGGAGTCTGCTTTCGGTCATCTAGCCTGGAAGGGTAACGGTTAAGCTTGAACTCAGAACTCAAAGCCTGTATTCTTTAATGTTGCACTACATTGCTCTCCACACCAGAGATAAGGGGGCTGCAGCCTGGGAGGATGTCCTGTCAGACTCCTGGCCTGGCTGATTCTAGAGGGCTCCACTCCTCATCCACGGTGGAGGCTTCTCTTCCCCTGCTCTGAAGTCAGAATCAGGAAGCTAGTCTCCACAAAGAAAGAAGGAACTTTTAATAATTCTGGCTGGTGCCCTCCTGTTGTTTCTATGCGTCTTACGTCTACCATTCTGCAGACATCCTCAGCAATCCCCCCAAGTCAGGACTAATGTCCTTCTGTTTCAGATTTCTCCATCTCAGCACTGTGGACATTTTGGTGGGAGAATCCTTTGCTGCAGGAAGCTGTCCTGTACATTGTAGGGTCTTTAGTGACATCTTTGGCTTTACCAGCTAGACACCAGGTGCAAGCACCTCCCCACTACTCAGTGTAACAACCAAAATGTCTCAGAATAAGCCCTCTGGAGGGCAGAGTGGCTCCAGTTGGAATCCCTGCCCCATCTTGAAATAGACTGAAAACTGGGGGATCCGGAACGCTGGACAGAGCAGGCATGGTGCAGTGATAGAGACTTTGAGTAAAAGGATGCATTTTTTTGTTCTTGCTGAGTGGGCATTATAAAATCAATAGCCCACAAATTTTTTTTTCCAAAAAATACTTTATTCATATACTCATTTTAATTTAAGAGCCCATTCTCCTCATGGCAGATGGTAGAATAGTTATTTCTACAGAAACAAAATCATGCATCATTTAAACTGAGTCAACTCAGAGTGTCCCACTCTTCCTCCAACTCTTTTTGAGGCATTTTGGAGGGAGGGGAGATATTTAATGAGGGTGTCTTCTGTCCTTCCTGGCATCCACCAAAGTGGAACAATCTCATTTAGTCTTTGGCTTGGGTGTTTCCCCATCAGACATCTGATGAGACTCTGGTGTGGCCTCCCTGATCTCCGATCGCATGATCCACTGCCACCTGAGGTTGCTATAATTCGTCACACCATGTGTCACCCTGCTCTAGCAGTCGCAGGCCTGCCGCGTGCCTACTTACTCGCACCCTGGGCCGTAATCGCGGAACAGAGATCATTTGCACCTCCCCTCTGAAGTTACTGAAGTGTGTAGGGGTCTTACCCTCATTTGCCTTATGAGCCGAGAAGTCCAGGCTGCTGTCTCGCACTTTCCCAGGCTCGCTTCGACGTGAGGAAGCTGTAGGTCGTTTCCGATGGGCAACGAACTCACACATCGTCAGCAACCTGGGGTTTCTGCGCTCCTTCACTCACCTGAGCAATATCAGCGCACGCACAGAGCATCTCTCTCTTGTCACCCACATACTTGCTCACTAGCTCTATTGCTCGCCTCACTCTCACTTTTAGCAGGCGTGGTAGAAAGGAAAAGTGACCAAACTAATGGAAAGAACAAGGCTAATTATGGCTACGCATCAAAACATCATGCTAGCAAAGCAAATGTGCAATCGACCACTTAAAAATTCCATATTAAAATATATCTATCACATACAATACATTGAAGAAAACAACTATCACACTATCAACTTGAACTTTATTAAGTTCAACGCATCCAAAATAAAAGATTCAAAGGATTTTTAACGTTCCTACTACACTAGCAATAAAACTCTATTCTCGTTTATTGTTTCAGTTCTGGAAACTACTAGATAAAGGATATTTAAAGTTCCACAGTATAGGGAGCTGAAATCCCATTTTTAGAACCTAGAATTCGCTTCACATTCTGAACTCCTTAGACAGTAAAACACTCAAATAAAAAGGAGAATGGACTTTAGGTAAATATTCAGTCCAGAGGTACAGGGGGCCCACACTTTGATGTACCCACTCTGCTCTAAATTTATAGCATAGCAAAGCTGCTAGATAAAAATATCAGAAAGAAAACCTCATAGTACCATAGCTGGGCCCCAAAACACAAGATTAAACATCTCTTGAACCAGAAATGGAACAGAAAACAAAGCAGTAAAATATGGATCTGGGGCCCTTGGCCTGAATCAGGCAGAGGCAGCTACCTGCTGATGGTGAGGGCCTCAGTGCTTAGTGAGTGGGTCAAGGCTGGGAACTGCTAGTAGCTGCTGCTTTACTATTTATAGGAGACTGTAGAATAATGTCTGTTGATAGCCTACAGATGAATAAGAAACTGAGAGCTTGGGAGTGGGTATGCATCTAACAACCAAATTATCCACAAGCTGGTTCAGTAACAGCTATAGATGTATCTACAATATTCCATAAGACAGAAGTCCCAAAAGGCACTATAAGATGTGGTTCCCAGGACTCATATGGAGGCATTTGGACACAGAAAAATGAGAGAACAAAAGGGGTGGGGTGGGAGGTAATAAAAACGCCTTCGTACCAAAGCTTCAACATAACACAAGAAATTGAAAGATAGTCAATAAAATCAACAATCAAATCATGAATACACTCCAGATTAATTTTATAGAGTGTTTTAACAAAGACTTTAAATTTGCTTAGGGTACTTTAAGTTATAAATGAAACAAAAGTTAAAAGAGAATTCGTGACAAAAAGGAAGAAAGGCAGATATTTCAAATAAACTGTTAGAATATAAAACAAATTATTGAAA